GTGCAACCTGTGCACGACACAGGTGTGAATAATTTAAAAAAAAAATCGTTCAGATTAAAAAAAAAATATGGCCACATTATAGCAGTACTTCTTTACCCCAGACCACAAGGGACCATGAATGCACTAATTTATAGTGTTGCTTAATTGAATCTTCGACCTTGGTTTGCTTCAAAAAGGATTAAATTCAGTTCGGATGGTCTGCCTAATCCCTAATGCATTGATTTCTAAGCATGTCGATAACACTACCATGACAAAACTCGTTAAATAGTGCACCTAAAGCGACCTTTTTTGGGTTGCGGGTGGCAAGTTTGTGAATGTTCAAATGCCTGATGTGAGCCAAGCAGACCTTCTATCACCTCTTGAAACATACCACAAATTTTCCACCACTGGTTGAAATTGAAGCTTTCAGCAGTCACGCGTCAAACGGGAGCAACACGGAAACAGCAGTCTGGTGCGCTTTGGACGTTATCATACTTGCAGACCGGTTTGAATGTGTGAGTTTAAATTAGAAGAACATTTGTGATGGATGGGTGCCAAAGTGTGCATTTCTCACTGTGCACTTGGATATCTGTTTGCAGGCAAAGAGATTAATGGAGAAAGAGAGCGCAAAAGCTCGCTTCAGTCGAAAGATTACTCTTCGACTTCCTTGTGATAAAATCGAGAATTAGTTAAGTTTTGCCATTCCTCCTACTTGGGTTAACGCGAAAAGGGCCATACAAGTTTTGTTTACACAACATGATAGGTCCTTCAAATGTTACGGTAGTGATTAATATAGTAATAGAGAATATGTCCTTCGAATTCATGGAGCATTGTAAAAAAAAAAAAAACTTCTATGTTATGGTAAACTATAACGAACAAAGTTTGATGCACAGGTAAACAAATAAGGCACGCGACGCCTCTGCTGAACTTACCAGAAATTCCCGGTAATTCTTTAAGGTCTCGAAATGTTACAGAAGTTAATAAAAAAGTCTTGAATTTATCGGAACTTACCTGTGCAACTTACCTTGTGAAGAGCTGGTCCGAAAGTGAGTGGAGAGTTGCCCGTGTGTGTTTATGAAGCGTTGCCATAGATACCTCTGTTTACCAGCATTGAACTGCTGCGCTTACAACGGAGGGCTGCACACATGGCTTGCTGACTCGTTAAGCGTCAAGTTAAGACCTGCTTACACTAGCGCTAATATATGCCACACATTGGCGTTGACGGCGACTCTGTAGCTCTTTACTCCTATGAGAAAATCCATAAGCAAACGTCAGACTGTGCGTGAAACATGGCGGACTTTGTACTATCCTTTCACTCCACCGAAAATTTCCATAAGAAACTATCTAAATTTGCTGGAAGAGCAAATTTTTCGACGGTGCACCCTTACGGATCATTACGCTTACCAGAAAATCTGGGCTTTCCTGACGTTCCTGGAATATGACGGAAATTATTGGATCCCAAGACCTGGCTTCTCGGAGATATTTGGAACATTTGTAAAGATTCAACAACTTTCTGAAGTTCTCTTGATGTCCCTGAAGTTTCGCTGGATATCTATGAAGTCCTCAGAAGTTCTTAAAAGATTCTGCAGTTTTCCTGTGTTAAAATTCATAATGTTTCCCTGAAGTTAAAAAAAAAAAATCATGCCGAAAAATTACTTACACCGGACCGGGAATCGAACCCAGCCGCCTCCAGCATGGTCTTGCTTTATAGCTACGCCTTTACCAACTGAGCTTAGAGAGCCCCTCTCTCTTGATTCCTGATTCCTGAAATTGTTCTGAAATTAATGGAACTGCCCAAAAAATCCTTAAACCACCATGATCTAACACCAACACAGCCAGTTCTTGAAAGCATCCTGGAAAATGATGGATATACCTCCATAATTTTTCTTGTCTATTTGAAATATGTTTCACATCGAAGATGCGTCACACATATCAAAACGGCCAGGCCTACTGTGCAGCATTTAAGGGGCAAGATGATTCAGAAAACATCGAAGATTTAAACACGATGCTACAGAATCCAATAAATGGATGAAACGTGGACATCTCGTACCGTACGTTCCGATTTTGGTAATTATATGATTGGTTGATCGTTGGAAGCCTCAAAGCTAGAAAGGTTAAGTGATGCTGCATTTTCTTCTGACGGTTGGGGCATGAGCACTAACTCTGTCCTAGCCTTTTATGACTTATGGCTATAGCGCCATTACTCGCTTACTGAAAAAAGAAGAGGGAAAGGAAAAGGAGAAGGACAAAGGGAAAAGGATTATGTGAAATCTATGAACATAAACAATATTTTTTATTTGAGATATACCTACAATATAGAAATGCAGTACCCGAGTCTTGTCACTATTATCAAGTCATAAAAAGTAACAAGGACTAAAATGTGATCCTTTGATTACTGGAAAATCCTGATTCCCTAGTTTGAAGTTGTCACGACTAGGGTTCGGTGGTAGATTTTATACCAGTAACGCACCACAAAAAGGTGATCTCCCAAAACGAACTCACAAAGTTTAGCCAATTGAACCTGAAGGCTGCCTGACATGTGTTGATGTAGAAGTCCAAATTGTAGACGAAGCTTGACGAAGATCAACATAAACTAGTCCAGTTTATAGTAGTTGCGTATAGTAGTAGACTCAACGAATGATGGAACTAATGATGGGACGAATGATGGAACGCCTCGTGGAGGTTCTACTTCGCTTCGGAACAGCTTCTCAGCGGCAAATAATAGGGACCTAGAAATTGTCTCCTGGGCCTGGTTATGGCCAGATCGGCAACCGATTATAGATAATAAAAAAACACCACAGAAAAAAACAAACGTCAGTTTCGAACACACGCACAGCCTACTTCCAAAAAAAATCCTTAACCACCATGACACTTAAACTTAACTCTTGATCGAGAATCTATAACGGTAGATGCAAATGTGCAGCGATCCCATCTGTCAAAAGCATAGAAATGTTTTATCTAGATAAAAATAATATGTCCGAAATAGATTAGACACGAACCAACTCATAAAGTTTGTACACGGGTTCGTGGCTAGGATAAATATTTTCCACGAATACGGCGGTAGATGTCAGTTTTGTACTTTGATCAGAAATTTCTTTGTAATTTGTATGATCATTCATGTCGGTTTGTTGGTGTAGTTCGCGATATGTTTCGTAAGTTCACTAAACTTCCCTGAAGTTCTTATCAGAACTTCCAGTTGCGACAACTGGAACCCAAGTTAGAGCGATAGAAGTGATATTTAAAATGCTTCCATAGAATGCTCATACAAACTTCAAACCTTTTGCGTGACCTTTAAACCTTGATCAATATCTATCATTTTTCATATGTTGGGGTTATGAATCAAACTTATGGATGACCTTAACGATTGTTAATATTTTTTTTTAGAATGAAGCAGGGGTCTAAATTTTATCAAAACCCGTCTACTTAGTTTTTTGACAGCCCACCTCTACTTCCACAGAAAAACAAATCCACTGGACGTTCCCAGATTCCTTACAACGCTCCTAATTCTGTTTCAGGATTCATGAACAATTTAAAAATAAGTATCATGAAATAGATACCTCGCAAAGATCACAACCTTACTAATATTGAGTAACATTCGAAGATGATCTATTTTCACTCCTCTCTAATGGCACCCACCCTCACTAGAGACGAGCACTTTCTCGATTACAGAATCAATCAATCAACCCATCACGGCGACGACGACGACGACGACGACGAAGACCACAACGAAGACGACGACGGCCGAAAGGGCTACTAAAATTAGACAAACAAGATGCAACTCAGATTGTTACAACACTGGGCCACGAGATGCGTGGGATCACTTGGATTAGAATGACAACATGAGATATGCTATTTTGATCATCTGCTGCTGCTCGGGCACTCGCTGCTATTGGCACAAGGTGATATATGCCGCATGTCGATCGTGAAATTCGAAGACTACAGACTGCAGATCGCATTCCAAAAATAGGCTACGACGACGCAGTTTGTGAAATAAGACCGCTACGGTTGATTGATCGGATTCGAATTCGATTACAATGTAGCCGTTTGGGCAAGGTCAGTGGCATTTTCTTCGACTTGAAGGGGGCCGTGTGGCATCAAGCACCGTGCGTCCCCATTCCATGAATTCTTTGCGGATGAATGGGAAAGGAATTGAGTCAGAGTAGAGCGGGCCGCAAACATTCCAAACCCATTAAAAAAAGTCGGGCCAGTAAATCTTCCTTCTGGTTGGAATACAGAAGTGTAGAGTGCTCTGCTCACGTATTCATAATTTCAAGTTCAAGAGACCATCGGAACGGAGCGGGATATTTTTAGCATTCGATTATTAGTGTCGTAATTAAAGCAGCACCTTGCGCGCTGTCACGGAAGGTGGATCCTAGGGGTGTCAATTTCGTGCAATGAATGAGACTTTGGTCAACCTACGAACGGATTGACCAACCCTACCGAAACATGACGAACATGTTCGAGACGATTTCCGTTCTTAGTTTTCAGTAGCGAATTAGAGATTGATTACGTCACGGCCGGTAGCAGCCTCAGTGAATCATCTAGGTTGTGAGGATGACAAAATTGCAAACAGGTGCGCGGATCTTCGTTTCCCATCTGGCTTCGACCGGTTTGGACATTCGGTTGGGTCCAAGCATCTAAACATGATTCACTTGTTTACCAAAAAGAAAAAAAGAAAATACTAACCGATTTACTTCTAGCTTAATCAGCTGATTAGGGACTGATCATAGGCGGCTATAGCGATTCTTTTTTGAAACAACCTAATTTAGTGAAATGTGACTGTGTGAGTGTGCAAGAAAAGAATCTCGCTTTATAGTTCGTTAGCCCAACGTGCGACCCCAACGACGATCATATTAAGTATCGGAATAATACAGTGTATAGTAGCATTAGTGTAGAACCCAAACGAAAACAGAAAGCGGAAAAGTGTCCCCCTCTGGTCGACGAAGAAAACAAACGCAGGTTTTCTTTTGCCACAACAACAACAACAACAACAACAACAACATTTCTGTGTCAACGAACGCTCACGGAGATAGTGAGAGAATCCCGCAGCGGAAATGACGCTGAAAGACGAAATTGTCACCGGCTCGGCGGAGGTCAAACCTGGTAGGAGACACGTTGTTTCTGTTGTCTGTTAAGTGGCTCATCTCCGTCAGTTTGCGGTGGCTAATGAGGTGTCCGAACGGAGTTGGGTGGATAATCCCGGTGACATAACAGAAATGTTGTTCTATTTCAACCTTAGCTAATTCGTTTCATGTTTTCTGTCGGTTTGGAATGTATTCGTGTTCAATTTGTCGCTGTGCGGCTATTGTAAATGATTCACTTTATTATAGGTTTGGTTCGTGGGGATTACTCTAAAACAGCAGTATATTTTGAAATTCCAATGCTTGTTTGTTTACATTTATCTGCTGCTTGCTTCTCTAGGCATTCCAATCGAAACAAAATTGTTCAAAACTGTTTGAAAGCGTTTTTACAACGCTCCAAACCACTCTGGTGAGTGTGACTATTGTCGGCAGCTTTTTCTTTGGCAACCTTTCCATTTTAACTCCGTGTTAACCAGCTGTTCTATTATCGGCAACTCGTAATCAGCCACATTTTGTAGTGCGTATATTTCATTTAAGGAAAAATGTGGCCTACCAGGATTGCTCAGTTGTAAACATGTAATCAGATTGAAGCTGAAAGACTGAGGAATCGTTTGAATACATTCAGGGAAATGTTTAGATGGAAAAATACAGTGAAATTAATGTTTAAATTTTGGTTGCCGATAATAGACAATGGGTGCCGAAGCAGACATTTATCCTTACACTCTTAATGCGAACGAAATGTACCGTAAACCAGAAAACGTTGCGAGCAAAAGTGGTATATGTTCATGATTTTTCCAGTACAGGATATCTCGTGAACTTGGCCATATAGAATGTTACCGTCTTCAGCAAAGTTTTTCAGGTGACCAAGGTCTTCCGGTTGTTAAACATATTTGTTCAGAATTTTCTCACTACGTGGATCTAGCGTCCTTATGATGTTCCTGCATATGTTGCTATATCATAACATCCTGAGTGCGTAAGAAGATGCTATCTTTGAGAAAGTTGTTCAGGTGATAAAGGTCCTCAGAATGCTAGACTCTGAGAACTAGCTCACTATGCAGCGTTTGTGTGCATACTAATGTAACCAAATAAGCTAAATCACATATGGGTCATTCCAGCTCAAATGGGTACACCACCAGTAACCAATTTGAGCCAAACTTGGCCAAAACGCTTATTTTGGCAATCTGAACAAACGCCTTTTTTGATTTTGCTCTAAAGTGCCTAAATCCTTCTGGGATACAACCCTGTGTTTTCGAGATTTTTAAAAATTTAAACTTTCAGAAGAGATTACTCCAAAACCAAATAAGCTATTCTTGATCTTAGAACGTCAATTTGAAGGTTTTGTAATGTTAATTCTTATAGGTGCACCCAAATTTCGTTTTTGTAATAGTAACTACAGTAAACAGGCTGAGTATTAAAATTGTCAAAAAATGGCCTATTTTCACCATGGGCGGGATTTTTTATTTCTTAATATTTTGGGTCAAATTTTCACCACACTTTGGAAAACTCTTGTACTTGATGTGTTTCCAAGGGCAAATTATTTGAACAATTAGTTTTTGTGATATTACCAGATGAGTGAGAGGTAGTTTTAAGCTTTTCTGGTGAAAAATCAATGCTATTTAATATATTTTTATTTTTTTTTTCCTATGGGATACAGCCAAAACGTGCTTAAGAAGTACGATGAAATCAGATAGATTAGCAGGTATGCAAAATTTCAGTTGTGGATGACAGTTGCTACTTGAATAATACCGAATACATCATATCAAGAAGACTGGCAACTTTGCCAGGATATAAGCGACAGATATAATAGCGCTGCGCTTGAGTGAAGGTGGAAGCAACGCATAGAAAATTTAGCAAATACACAAACCTTTCTTCTGAGGATGTAATCTTTGCTATCAAATTCGTTCGAAGCATTTACCTTTGAACGGCAAATGACGCGATTGTACCAACGGCTCATAGCGTTGATTTGTTGTCTTCGATAATACCCTTATAATCTCACGAGCAAGAAAAGAACATGACAGTTACGTTCATGAATGGAAAGTGTGGTTTCAAAAAATGAAAAATGAAAGTTCAACGGTTATTTTTCTTTATAACTATAATAAAAAAAGCATTCTTGCTTGTGAGATTAATTACTCAAATAAGGGTATTATTCAAGTAGCAGCTTTCATCCAGAACTGAAATTTTATATATCTGCTAATCTATCTGATTTCATCCTACTTCACGTTTTGGCTGTATCCCATAGGAACGTATTTTTCACTTTTAGGACCACAATTAAATTATGGACAGAAGCAAATATATGAGGTAGTTATGATTTCATATATTGAGAATCCTGCCCAGAACATGTGAAAAATAACATAAAATATGATTGTGCCATCGGCGTGAAGGAATTCAAGAAAAAAAATGATATTGATTTTCCACCAAAAAAGCTCAAAACTACCACTCACTCATCTGGTCATATCTCAAAAAACTATTAGTCCAAATCATGTACCCTTGGAAACACATCAAGTACAAGAGTTTTCCAAGGTGTGGTGAAAATTTGAGCCCAAAGTATTAAGAAATAAAAAATCCCGCCCATGGTATGCAATTTTTTGACAATTTGGATACCTGCCGGTAATCAGTCTGTTTACTGTAGTTAATATAACAAAAACAAAATTTGGGTGCACTTATAAGAATTAAAATTAAAAAAACCTTCAAATTGACGTTCTAAGATCACGAATAGCTTGTTTGATTGTGGAGTAATCTCTTCTGAAAGTTTAAATTTTTAAAAATCTCAAAAATACAGGGTTGTAGCCCAGAAGGATCTAGGCACTTTAGAGCAAAATCTAAAAAGGCGTTTGTTCAGAATGCCAAAATAAGCGTTTTGGCCAAGTTTTTCTCAAATTGGCGACATCGACCACAACTTTTTTAAATTATGTACCCACTTGAGCTGGAATGACCCATATGCTAAGTGAACTCCATACATGCGGTTTCCTTATACAGCATTCTCTCCATATATCGTCCACCCACCGCTATCTCTCGGCTGCCCTTCAACCAATTGAGCTGATTTTCTGTAGATAACTAGTTTATGGTTGACACTAATCTCATACAAAAATCAACGTCATTGGTTGAAGGACAACCGAGAAATAGCACACACGGAGGGGTTACTGTATAAGGAAACCACATATCTAGATAGAGCTGGAATTAGGGCGTAACAGCCTTTGTAAACAATGACTTCTCTCGTTGATTTCCTGGAATTCAAGGCCCGCCTACACAAACCAACATATCCATCGAGTAGGGGAAGTCTTCCCCTACTCGATGGTGATGTCGATTTGCCAGGGAGAGCCATGACTTTCGAGAAATCCTCGAGAGAAGTAATTGTTTACAAAAGCTGTTAGGCCCTAATTCCAGCTCTATCTACATATATGGAGTCCACGTACCATATGGGATTTGGCTTAATTGGTTCCAACATGGAATATCTTGTGATCCTGGACATATAGAAGGATTCTGTCATGCGTAAAGTTGTTCAGTGGATCAAGGCCTTATGGTTGGTGAATAGTAGTTCAAAATTTGCTCACTACGTGACGCTAGTGTGCACTTGAACTTCCTGTATCTCGAGATCCTTGCCGTATAGAAGGTTACTGTCTTCAGCAAAGTTGTTTAGGTGACCATCCCAAGTAATAATTCAAGCTCCCAAGTGACCATCCCAAGTAACAAACAGTGAGAACAGAAGCTGATCATTGGTTGATTTAAGGTGTACAAAGCTGATTAACATCAGACTGAATATATACTTGATTAGTAGTGCATGAAGCGAATTGCATCCCCATAATTCAACCTCAATAAGTTAGCTGATCTAAATATTGAACAAGCCTTATTTAAGCTTAACACAACTCCTCAAATCAGCAATGCGTTATCCATATTTCGATAGCTTGATTTGTTGAATGTCATCAGTGTCTGTGTCACTCGTTGCATTTCCGGCAATTTAGTTCTTCTAAATTCACTGCCTACCTTTCTAATTATAAGCAGTGGCAGCAGTACAGACAAAAGGGAGAGGAGCTTTTTAGGAATAGCTCCAGGTAGATGTGGGCTGCGACGACGTCGGAAGTATTAATAAAAATATTACTCATTGTTGTGTTAGAGAGGAATGTTTTACTGTCCACCAGTTGTTGTTTACAATTGTGCATTGCTGTATAATACTCTTCCGGTTGCTGTTAATCAACTTAAATTGGACGTGCTTCAAGTTAATGATCATACCTTTTGCCACACATAGCTTAAGTGGTCCAGTAGGTATGGTTGACGCCTGTGAATCAGCGACTGCCGGTTGAATCCCGAAATGCAAAGGGAATTTTTAGACTTATATTAACAACATAAATATGTAAATCCGATTAGTCAGCAAACAAGTTAAAGCAGTTCCATATAAGATATGAAGCGGTCTTCCATTATATTTTTTTTTTAAAATAAAACTAGATGGCTGAACAATGGTTGTAAAAGACTGTTATTTAATGTATAATTACTGTTAAGCTTTTGGCTGATTTGAATCATCAGATTGAGATGTTTGAAAGCTGAAAAAAGGTTATCGTGGTATATGTACAGCAATTATTCAATCGAAGGCTGAATTAAAGTCGATTAAACAACACTTGTTAAGCATCAAATTGTTACCTGGGATGTCCTTTCGGATGCTGGCCATATTAGTTCAAACATTCTCACTACGTGGAATTAGTGTGCACATGAACTTCGTGTGTAAGCCAAATACCCCACAATATGGATATTTTCGGAACGGAGCCGACGGGTGGAGGCCGAAAATAGATGATTGACGCCACTTTGGACTCCAAGGTGGCGGCTTCCGACTTGTGAAAATTGTGTCAAATATCCCAAAATATGAATATTTTCAGAACTAGAACAACGTGTAGAGGCCGGAAAGAGATCATTGGCGACATTTTGGAGTTCATGATGGCTAATTCCAGTTTGTGGACAACTGGCAAAGACTCTACAATATGGGTGTTGTGGAACGGAGACGACGTGTACAAGCTAAAAATCGATAATTTATTC